AAAAAATCTGAGTATTGAATTGAAGAGGAATATAATGCCACTGCACTATAACACTTGCTTGGTGTGGAGGGGTCCTGGGGCCTAAGTAATGCTGCGAAAAGGCGAATATCAGGTCATTTGCTGCATTCATCCCTACAGCATGACTCAGTTCGGTACGATATACGCTTACATGACCACTAATTTGACAGGAAAAATGCGCGTCGATCGGAACGTCGAAAACGGCACAGCTTCACCGCATCCAGCATAACGCTAAGTGAGATGCAAGCAGCTGGCGAGCATGTTTCAAGCGAGACAAACCAGCCACCGCAGTCTCAGAAGGGAAAACGCAAGCATCAACGCAAATCTAAGAAGGATGTGTATACTGGAGAACAGACTCGTATACGCCGTGACTCAGACCAGAGCTCCGTAAAGAATGAAACCAACGGTAGTAATGCGTTATTCTCCCACCATTATGGTCCTTTGGTTTCTTAATTATTAACTTTTTTCATCGGCAGACTCTGCGTCAAATCTTACAATTGGGAACGAGCTGGGTAACCCATCGTCTTCCAAACCGAATTTGGAGAAGGCGAAAGGGCGCGATGACAATGGATTTGGAATGTGGAATGTGAACGAAGAGTTCAGCAGGGGACATCCTTCCAATCCACACGCCACTGTTTGCCCTGTGGCATTGACCGCCAATGCAATATTTGAATTGGATGAGGAATGATGTATTTCAGACGTTGGCGGGGGCAGTGATATCTGCTTTGGGTTAAGCAACATATCTGTAATGTTATGAATAGCTCCGTTGAAATGCCTAATCATGATTTTGACTTGTCTAGCTGGGACTTTGCATACGCCTGCAATGCGGTTGTAGAACCCGCCTGCCTGCCCTCAGGCCCCTGAACCTCGGACTTCAGGAGAGGGTTAGTTGCGAAAGCTTTATTTGACACCGTGTACCAAGAGAAAGGAAACGGGGGAAGATAGACGCGATGGTAAGCACATGTCACCTCGGAGGGATCTTCACGTTTCTCACGTACAGGGTTCGTGTTTGACTTGATTTCTCGCCTATTCCCTGTAAAGGCGAACCTAAACATGCTGGTATGTATTACAGTAGTCATCCCCGAATGAGCGCAGGACCGTCGCATGTTTCACGAGGATTCAACCAGCGTTAATTACTTCAGTTTTGCTTTGCAACATTGTATGTTTAGTTGGGTCAAATGTGGGGTCGACCTTCGTGCTTACAAATTATGCACTGGTTGGATAGCAGCTGGGCCTTACACGTACCACTCGGATCGCTAGTCCCTCTAGGCAGTTCCGACATTCGATCACGAGTTGGATTTAACGGCTCTCGAGCTGCTGTGATTAGCCCTTCATTATCAAATTCTGAAGTGATTGCATTATTACTGGCATTTAATAGTCGGATTTTAGCTTCTGCTGACAAATCGATGAGGACGCTCACTTTGGTTGCCATATTACTTCTGCTAGGAATCTGGCAGACAGGGCATATCACAGGTCTCAGATCTTGCCTTTTTATCAGAGCGTATACGCTCGATCAGACATTGTACCACCATATCGGCAACAACAAAATTGAGTCGAAACAAACTATTTTAAATAAGATACTAACGTTTTAATTTTCGTAAAAAGTAGCTATTTTTACCTTTTAACACCAATAATTTTGGTACTTTAGGAGAAATGCGATATTGCTTGACTGCTAAGCATAAAGAATTACTTAACTAACTCACAACACAACCTTGAGATTTGTTTGAAACGATAGATCTAAGCCCTACATTTTAATTACTCCTTTCGGTGTTGTTTTGCGCATAAAATGCCACTTAAGCTGAACTTTAAACGAACACATAGGTATAACGTATCTGCAAAAGATCTCTTTGTCATTCCTATATACACGCTGGATGCATCATGTGTCGAATATACAGTTTCGCCAACAACGACGGGACGTGATGCTCTTGAATACGTTGCGCAACGACTGGATATCGAGGATGTAAAGTTGCATACCAGCTCACTTTATAACTAGACCTGTTTTTTTGGATTCCGGTATGAGGCATGGACTGACGACCAGAGGTGGCTTTTTCTCAACAAGCCTGTAAAGAAGCAGCTTGATAAATACGCACGACAACATGCGCTAGTATTAAACATCATGCTATTTATTGATAACCCACAATATCTCCCTGATTCGAATTTGCGGTAATTCTCCTTTTCCATCATCTGTGTTGCATTTTATGCTGGATTACGTCCTTGTCTTTTGGTTGATTCTTATTTGGCGTTTCTCCCTTCACCTAGCGTAGGTTTTCGTGCCACGTTTAGTTTATAGTTAGCTGATTTGTGAGCAGTTGAGTCTGTATTTTTTAGTAGTAATTTGCAGCACAAGTATGCATATGAATATCCTTTTAAAGTCTATATATAACATCTTGTCTATTTTGTAGACGTCAATTTTACTTGCAATTAAGGCAAGATGTTCTTACCAAGCAGCTTAAGATCGCCTCTAAGCAGGCTATCAAACTTATGGCTTACAGTCTTCAAGGTTAGTTTTACTGCAAATTTAACGTACAGAAGTACCTTATGATATGATGTATTTATTCCAACACTTCCTTTGGCTAGCTGAATATGGTGATTTTGTCGATTTTGAAACCACAGCTCATATTTGGCGAGAAAGACCAATGGTTCCAACTGTAGGTCCATTGCATTTTTCTTTTGATTCGTTATTCATTTTCTGTTTTATCAATGCGGGAATGTGTTGAATAATGCAGGATTTTTTGCGAAAAGCATGATTTACCCCTTACAATATTTTGAAATCACTCTTTGTTTCTCCATTTTTGTTTTCTTCATCTTGCCCCATTACCTAAAGTACAACATCCGACCAACAATTGCAATCTTTTACATATCTTAATGTCTCTTGATGTCGGAAGTAAGCTAGGTCTCAATAAGTGTCTATTTCCCTATGTGACGATTTGATCCTGGTATGTTTATTACAAATTGCTTTCAAAGAAAGTGAAAAAAGTCATATGCATTTAGTAACTCGTAAAAATGTGAATGTTTTGATCGTTTTTCTTCAACCTGCTAACAATTAGCTCCACAATATTGGGTTAGTGGTAGTGTTTGTTAGATTCTTCAATAATTAGGAAGTGTAAAATCTTAAACGTTGATTTTGTTGACTAGTCTATAATGGGAGGGAGTGTCGAGCTGGGTAGTCTTGAACATATCGATGACATCATTTGGGGCTACTGCCAACTACGCGGCGTTACTCAGGACAACGCCATCTGGTACTATCTCGATGAAATTCGGCGGCTATCCAATTACGGTGTTCAACTATTCTTTGGTTCGGTATGTCCATTCAGCACAACCTTTAGCAGATTTTCTTAGGTGATGATATTTATCGGTGTGCGCTTCTTTTCGCTCCACTCTTGATATCCTAGCTTCCAAGACTCAGATAAAGAGGATCAGGCCCCCAGCAGGATTCTCTTAAAAGTCCTGAAGTGCTTGCAAAACATCGTTAGGAACATAAAACTTCCTAGAAAATATCATGAGAATTTCAGGGAGCTGGTATGGTGTTAAAACTTAGATAAATATTGAGGATGGCTGGAATTTGTCCGTGCAAAATTAGAACGAAACACTGAGATCTATTCAAATGTGCGGCTGGGTAATTTGCCTAAGATGGGAAGAATCTGTTACTTGCGTTGGAACGGAGTTGCCATTCCCACGCCTTCCTATGCTTTCTTTGAGGTGCATTCGGTTATTCTATGGTATAGGTGGGACAACAGATTTATTGCTGTGCGTTACCAAAGCACCAAAGTGCTTTTGTCCGCATTCTGCAATTAAATCAACAAACGCACAGCTTTTAGTTGTAGAGTCTATAGCCTTTCTGACAATCTGAATTTTCCCAATTATGTATTCAGACAGTCGCCGGCGAAGCAGCTCAACTTGGCGTTTCTCGCAATGGTCTAGCAATCTCAACAATATGCCCCATCAATTCTTCCGTTTCAAAGCACAAGTGAGTTCCCACTTGTGCTTTTGGTTACGTTTATAACACCGGCGATGTTAGTTATGGTTGATACATTTTATTTTGTTCGCATCGAAATTGTTGACGTCTTCATATCTTTCTTTCCGGAGTGACTGGTGTGTATAACTACTTTTTTCACACTGCACGTTGCTGTACCACTACAGGTTAGCGCACCCAACCAATCATGTTGTCCGCTTTCCTTATTGGTCTTTACAACCATCGACCCAAGTGGGTGTTTTGCCTCTCTCCACAAAAGTGGCATAGTTTCACCTCTCCGAGTGACAGTTGTAAAAAGTCCGGTGAAGAGTCGAAACAGCTGATCAGCTGTTGTGGCTACAAAAGCACTTTCGTCCCATGGGTCTGTTTGCGTGTGTGCCAGTTCTGCGGTGAGAGAGACAGGAATAACACCACTTTGATCATCAAATACATGTGAACTATTGGTCCTATTTACAGAGTAAATAGAGGCCATTCTACGCCATGGAAATGATCCATTCATAGTAGTTGAGAAGAGAAACGAATGTTGAGGACCGGTAGTCACGAAAATTTTATTTTCATAGGGCGAACCCTTTGAAGAACCGATGACAGGAGTGTATTCTGGTGACTACTGAACTTTAAAATGATTGCTATAATGGTCCTTGGGGCCTCTTTGGGTTAAGAAGTTTCTAATTTCTCGGGAGCGAGCGTTGACAATCTGAGAGTACTGGTCAAATAGTGTGGAATGCCTTGTTTCTTTTTTCTGGAAAAACATTAATGCACGTCGTGGTAGCTAGGATGGTATTCTCATGTGTTCGACGAATTGCCAATGTCAGATGCCGCTCAACCTTATCAACTGCCCATTGAAAATGTTATTGTGCTGCATGCAGGGAACCCACGAAAATTTCAGTCCAGCAAGTAGGAAGGCAGTGTAAAACACTTGTACGAATTTATCTACGATGAGCGGTTTCGTTCTAGTAGATGCTTTTTTTTGCTTGTGTATCAATAGGCGGTGCAGGTTCGAGTTGGTTTTCACACTTTTGAAGCAACACACCTTGCGACGTAACTGCCCATTCTCATTGCCTCTGGTAGTCTACAAGCAATTTTCTTCCAAGTAGGTCCGTTCGTTGTAATGACAAGATAGACTTTTGTCGTTCTTTTGCACTTTGGGGTGCAATCAACCCTTTTATTCTTCTCTTTTCCCCATTCTGTAATAAGTTGTCATCGCACTGCACATCCTGTCTTCTCTACACCTTCTTATTTGCATGTCTAGCCTTCCCCTTTTACTCCACAGGCTTTCTCGGGGCGTCTAATTTCTTTGTGCTTTTACGATGAGAGGAGCAAAATAGCCACTCCGATTTCTTATGAGCCTTAAACTTGTCTGTTGTAGTTAAGTTTTGACAAATTAACATCCTAGTTAGTTTCATTTCACAAGTAGTGCAAAATACTGACCTTTTATTGACCTGTTACTTTGCACATGTTTGTTACTGTTTTCTAACTTTCACTCCCCCTCTTCCCAATTGGTGCTTGTGGCTACCACGGATTTAATTTTTAGCACCTCACTACCGCTCTCCTTTCGTCATTGTCGTTGATGATGTCGCTTGCCCGGTTGACGATGATAAAGATGGTGAACTAGACTGCCCATAACTTGGGCCTAAACTGCTGTTACTTAGTTACTGTCGCTGAACCAAATGATCCTGCGCTTACATTAAGCTGGTACAGTACTTATTGCCAACTTC